TTGGGAGTGCAAGAGATGTCAAAATATTAATATTTTACAACATAGCCTGTGGTCATTCCCTAAAACATCAGAGTATGAGGCCACTAATGTGTCTATTCACCCTTCTGGGAGTCGTGTTTCTCAGTTTTCCCCTGGTAATCAAACCCCACTGCACTCTTGTCCACTCTGTCAGCCTGTACTCCGTATTTTCCACCAAAACCACTTGAGTAGTCTGCACAACAAAAACAAAATGAAGACACTTTTCATGAATACATCATATCCTAGCAATTGAAAGGGGGAAAAAAACATTATTTCAGAACTATGAAGTCTTCAGCCTTTAGCACCCAAAGTTAAGCCTAATTTTGAACACAGAAATAAGATGGGCAGCAGTCCTGTAGTTTATGATGGCTCCTATTAAATTGGCTCCCTATTTCCAACAGGGTGCAATATGCCAAAGAACAACTCCCAGCATTTCTAAGATGTCCTTGAACCTCCCTTCTAAAAGAAAAGTAAGACTCTCAATGACACACTATTTCCTTGCCTTAAAACCTCATCACCTCATGGAACTGCTTTGAAATACATTTTGTTTTATCTTCTCTCCCACCAAACCCAACATCTGATTCACTGAGAATGTCATGCAGAGGTCTCACTAAATAAGGTATTTTACATACAGTGAAAGAATAAAGATCTACTCTATCAGTTACGAAAACATGTCTAGAGATGCGACCACCTTGCCCACTTTACCTTTTTGGGAGGGATGTTTCTCAGTCTTCCCCTGATATTCAAACCCAACAGCTGACTGGAAGAGAAATAAAACCGCATGTGAGACAGAGTTAGATATTAAGAGAAAAACTGCATGAACTCCAGTGGACAAATAGCATGAAAAGCTGCTGTGTCTTTCCATACTGCTCTAACCCCCTTGACTGGAGCATAAACACCTACTTAACTTACAGGCCATATTCATTTACATGGTAACTTAGTACATGTGTCCATGGCAAGGATTTTTGTCCTCCCTTGCCAGGGCAAACTGTGCCAGCAACAAACTCTAGTCTTGCCAGGTTCAGCAATTCAGTACAACAGAAATTCAGCATTTCCATGCAGATTCTTGGAACAGGACATCAGTTATCCTGCCCAGTAGCTCATGTTGAGATACAGGATAAACCATCCCCAAATCCCTTTTTCTATAGCATTCACACTGACCTTGTTAAAAAGCACACATGTAAAAAAAAATATTATTTTTTAATTCAAAATTAAATTAATTTTTTAATTCAAAAAACACACATCTCTTTTCAATTACTCTCAACTTCCCCTAAGGGCTTCTTTTTCTGCTTTGCTCTAAACAGTAATTTATCTCTGTTACAGTCAGTGTTGGTTTGCTACTAAACTTCAAAAACAGCAGAAAGAGCAGAGCAGACCACACCAGCACTTTAAGGTATTGGAATTATACATACAAAGGGAGAAACTAAACCACTGTGAGGAGCTGCAGCAGGAGATGAAATCGCTTACCTGGTCAACTCTGTCGGTTTGTACTCCAAACTTCCCTCCAAACCCTTTCACTGAATCCACTTGGGAGCAATGCTTGGAAAGTTTGGATTGATATTCATGTCCAACAGCTGACTAAAAGAAATTGTTAAGTTCAGAAGGAGCAGTTCCACACAGTTCTGCATGTAAGAGAAAATACTGCACCGAGTAAACGGGGGATAACACGTCACTGCCACTCCTCCTGTTGAAACTACTTCCCTGGGAAATCCTACTCATCTGGAAAGTCTTTACCAACACAGCCCAGGCAAGGGAAGTGTGAACAGTCTGACAGCAATGACGGTGTTTTATGGAGACTATTTTAGGCTCTGTATTTGTACTTCAGAAGCACAGGAATGAAAGCAGGAAAGACATAGTGAGAGTCAAGATGGTGCCCATGGAGAATTTAAAGTTCCAAATAAAATACAGAGCCTTGCAGTTACAGATCTGTTGTAGCTGATACGGGACTGCAAACAATTACAACTACAGCTGGGTGTTATTCTTTTAGGGAGGCACCCATATCTCCTGCATAAATCAGAACTAGGCATCTTCTCTCCATATTTTCTCCTCACCTGCAAAACGGCATCGCAATATGAAGCACTGCATCCACATCAAGACAGAGCTCCCTGTGCCAAAGGGATCCCAGCCCTGCAGCCTCCAAGTGGAGCCTGGCCCTGGAACTTGAGCTAAACAGAGAAGGCAGAGGCGCAGCTACACCACACCCTGACTGGCTTCAGGTAGGACATAGGGATATGTAATTACACACCTGAAAGTCTATCCGAGCAGCGTTTGCTAATGTTACACTAACCTAGTGCTGGGAAACCCTCTCAGCTGGAAGCCTCACACCTTCAAGGTGCTACTTAGCCCAGCAAAAATGCTTTTTTCTTGCCTTGTGCTAACACTGGGCACTGGCCAGAACAACTTGGAATTTGTCAATTTAATCCAATACTTGCTTATCTTGTGTCAGGCAGCTGGACCAAGGTGAATTCACGTGAGGACACAAGGTGTCGAGACACCTAAGTAATGTGGTTTTTACACTGCCCTTTTTCCTCCACACAGGTGCTGGAGGGAACATTCCCAGCAGGTAGGAAAGCAAAATATTACTGCACATTAGGGCTGAAGTAATTGCCAGTTAACAGAACAAGGATGTCAATAATAGGACATTACTTCAACTTATAAGCATCACAAAAGCTCCTTTCTCTTCCTGACTGAAACAGTCACACTCATTTTGCAGATGTTCTGTAGTAGAATAACTGTTAAATGTGACAGAAAAGGCTCCCACCTCCCTTTATTCTTCCCATTACATTTATGGAAAACATGAAGCTCTGGAAATTTTAGCTTCTATGTCTCTTTCGTTATACCAGTTGAGGTAGGGAAGGCTTAAGCACGTTGTTTGCTTTGTGTTCTTACCAGAACTTTCTGCATTTCATCAAATACTGAGCATTACAAAAAATAAAACTCATAAAAATAAATCATAAACATCTCCTGCCACCAGCATCACTCAGATGGGCATGACCATCATGTTTTTCCCCGTGATTAATTCTGGCCTACGGGAAACAGTGCTCACTTTTGTTCCTTTCTTTTTCTCCCCATGGATACTGGTGAGGGCTAAACTGCTGACACTAGAGAGCAGCAGCAGAACAGGCCTGATGGCTGGATCTGCTCAGCAATTCCCCTCCCAGACTCAAAGGTTAGCCCAGCCTATTTCAGAGGCCCATTGAGAACTACACAGCAATTAACCCTGGAATATGGGAATCCAGCAAAAATTTAAGGCTGGCAAATCACCACAACCCCCGAAAGTAAACGACGTAAGAAAACTTTCTTATTTGGGAATGTTTTGATTCTTATTTTAACACAGTACATATAAGAGAGCAGCAAGAAGTTGATATGTTTCATTATTACGTGGCTAAAGAATTGTATTAATTATTAAACAATGTATAGTAAACATATAAAATGATGCCATCTGACCTGAAGTACAATGATATTTTACAATGATACATTAAATACTCGGTTTACTTGTCACTATTGACAGTTTACCACTGTTTAAGAGAATTGCCCTCTCATTTAAATACAGCAGCACACCTTTTCCTTCATTCTTTGTCAAATCTCTGTCTATAGGCACAAAAGAGTCACAGCATCAAAATAAAAAGATAATACTGGATTTATTATTGCATGAAGTGCTTTGTTAATTTAGAAATATACATTTAGAAACTTGAATCCTGACTCTGGGGGGACTTGCTCTAAAGACAGAGCACCTGGGGCCACTGCACATCCCAGGGCAAAGCTGGACCAAGCTTAACTCACACACAGAGCGGTGCTGGCCACAGGCAAGGCAAAGCTTATCCATACTTCCTTTATCCCATCATCCCAGGGAAGCCTCATTCACACTTACTTTATCCATCCGATCCTGTTCAACTCCAAATTTCCCTCCATAGCCATGGGAAGCTTTTGGTCCTGTTTGAAGCTCCTTCTCTTTGAGGTTCTGGTGTTCTTGGAAGACATTCTCTCTCAGCTGATGAATACTTTAAAAGACAGTGATAATGAGGCAGCAATTTTTACTAAGAAAATTTCAGCAGACAACTTCAAAAAGATGCAAAATAAAGAGATGACAAAAATATTATCTTAAAAGGAAGTTGGACAACTTGTATTTTTCAATCCCTTCCCATTTTTTCAAAAAACTTGCTCATATTCTGAGAAATTGGATTTATTCCACTGCAAAACATTGTTTTTAAAAAAAAAGATAAGAAACTGTTGGGTTTAAGACTAACATGGAAGGGAACTTTGCTGTTTGAACAATCCATTACCTAGAATTAATATATGCCTGAAAAGTTTTTTTTTCCTCTTGTCCTAATTTGAATTCTTTCCAATGCTTTTTATTTAGATGGCAACTTTTCAGAACAGGGGTCATCTCTTATCATGCAGTCCCCATGGTAACAGGACTAATTCTAACTGGGCACAACTTTATGAGGGCACAACTGTAGTGCAAAATAAGGATGTGAGGGGACATGCACCTCCTCTTCCCAAAGTGATCCTTTGCAATATGCAGGAACTGAACTCACAGCAATAAGAAATAAATTTGCAAGAAACACAAGATTCAGGAGGTGGGTAATTTCTGTTCACACAGCCCTCTGCCATTCTCATTTGCTTTTCTGTCAGAGAGCTCTATTTGTTACTTCACCAAGCTTTTATGACTTTGGCAACAGTTTTCTAAATAAAGCCTAAGAATTAAGAATCCAAATGTTTCTTTAAAGCACCAAACTGGAACTGCTCAGATCACTCAATTCTCCCCTGAAGCTATTGGCTCTTTTACCAGAGCAGAACACAGAAACTTTGTAGACAAGGAGGCTGGAAAAATTACATTTCCAGTGATAATGAAACATTTAAGCGTCTCTACATCATATTTCTGATCTTAATTTGAGACGTGAAGATACTGTCTGGATTTGAAAGCCCAGCAATCTGGCAAATAATCAATCTTCTACAGGGACTCTTGTTTTAATTATGAAGGCACACGTAACCAAGAACATGAGTTGATTAAAAGCTGCCTGGGATTGTGACTATTAATAAATTCCACAGGAGAGCTGCTTTACTTGATGTGCTCCTGGTGGCCGGATCCATTGACAGTTTTAGCTCCCCAGCGCTGCTCTTTCTCACTCACATCATTCTGTGAAGGACACACATAAAAGAGAGTTAGAAACACAAAGAATTCACCAGTTATCTGCACTTTGGAGGTCACAGAAAAGCCTCCAGCAGTCACTGAGATCAGACGAGTTGGAAAGGCAGCTACTACCTGCTTCACTTCCACTTCATTTCCAGGAACACATACCTATCAGTCTCTTTTGCTGAGACATAGCCCCCACCACGAAGGGTTACTCTTAACATGCCACATAACACACTCCTGCTGAATCAGTAAAATCCAAAATCCATACCACAAAGTCTGGATCTGTCTCCCAGTCATCAGCTCCATCATCCTGGTTGACAGAAACAGTGTGGCCTGCAGTCGCCTTCCACATCTGCAACACCACAAGAACGAGCAAGGTCACACTCCAGTCACATATCAATCCATTTTATGTGCAAGCTGGGGAAGATGCAACCCAAAATTCCCATATTTAACCATACCACCAGAAGCTGTACTTGCAGAGAAAGTAGATTTGACCTATCTGCACTGTAAAAAGGTTAGGAGCCATCACTGACATGATTTCAAAGAGAACAAAGAGGCCTTCCCTCGCTGAAATTAAAATGTGTCTTTTCTTCTACCTTCACTGCACTCAAAGACTTCTTCTCAAACAGGTTTCCAAGCCAACATCCACTTCCAAATTCTAATTCTAGATCCTGTGCATATAGTTAAGGTGTAGGAACAGGTGGTTTCTCCCCACTCATTAATAATGATAAGAACAGTACTGTGCTTTAGGCTGCATAACCTACATTATACCTGCACAACCTCGTGTGTTGTGTAACGAATTTCAGCATGATGACAGAAAGCCAAACAACTGTAAGACTTTGCACACAATCCAGCAACAGAGAACATAAGTTTCTGTGTTTTGAGACACATAAACAAACTCAGCATCTTGCTTGATTTCAGGAGAAACAGAGGAGGAGAGCTGGAGTACCGAGAGCAGGAAGGAAGACTCATAAAAAGGCAAGCAATGGCATCCAGAAACAGCATTCAGCACTTCCAAGATGTTAATGATTTGGGGCATCTCACTTTCGGAAACTTTATCCCCTGTGGAGTATCAAGTTGGATGCTTTTAATTAACACTTCTGAACGTGTCTAGTTAGCAGAATTCCTGACCTGTCTGGAATGTGGCTGTGTTTTACACTCTTTGGTCTAGGTAAGTCAAGACAAATAAATTCTAAAAAGCAAAACTAAAACATCAAAAAACAAGCTTCCTGTTCTCCCAGCTTTTCAGATATACCTGTCAGAGAAAGGGTTTTTCTTTACTATCCTACTAGAGCTCATTTTTTTCACATACTATCATTCTGTCCACTTACCTTTATCTTTCTAATTAGGGATAGATTATAAGAATGATTGTCACAGGCTATTTCACTCACACAAGCATAATTCAGTAGGTGGAATGAAAACTCCCTTTCAAATGCATACATAATAATCCATGGGTAAAGTCCACTGCTCGTTCTGTCAGGTTTGTTCTACAGCCTGACAGAATGAGCTGACAAGCCGATTTTATGGAGCATTTCAGAAATTTCAGGACTGGCAACGTGAATGAGAACAACCGAAAAACTGATAGTCAAAACCAAGGCAACAAATGATGGAGCAGTCCAGGAGGAGGGTGTAAAAGCAGAGCAGATGACATCCCGATAAGTATATTTCCCCTTATGCTCCTTCAGGTCTCCCATCTCCAAATTCCTCTGCCAATTAAGGAACTAGCATTTATAAAAGTACTTAATATGCAGAAAACTTGTGAGACTACAAGTTTATAACAAGCTTTTAGAACACTGGTATTTTATCACTGTCTTTAGAATATCCTGTTTAAAGCCCTCTCTGATGTGACTGTGTTTCAGATTTTCCTACACTTTCCTACTAAAATCTAATCTCTCACCAAAAAAACTGCAAAGCCTTGGAAAGCAGATTCAAAATAGCTCAATAATGAAATTCTACATGGAATCCAGGTTCTAACTTTGTGACTTCTGTTAAGATGGATAGCTTTGTACCCAACCCTCTGTGCAAAATGTTTAGAAATGGAATTCAAATGACAAGAGCTGAAGCACAGGTATATGTGCACATGGTGAATCTCTACATATTTTGTGCAAAACAGAACTTTTTCCCCATGTGCTTGATTCATACGTTCACTTGACTAATGTGTTTCCTAAATTCAGTTGCACTCAGAGATTTAAAAGAACAAAAGCTGGATCCTTAAGCCTAGATTTCATTGCTTCCTCTTGAATCTCACAAACAATAGCGCAGCAAAGCAAGATTTCACACGCTCCCCATGCAAAATCCAGAATCCAACGCGTTTCTTTCTAAATGATGTGGATAAACGCCTTCCCCTGCTGCTTTAAATCGCTGTGTTTTTCCACATCTCAACCTTGCACTATCCGAAGTGAATTAGGAAAGGGGGAGCGAAGCAGCGCAGTGACAAGGGATCTCAACGCAGAGCCAGCAGGAATTGTTGCTGGTTTCGGCCACTATTCCAGCATCAGTTCCAGGGCTGAGCGAGGAGAAACACGGTCTGTCTGTGACTCAGTGGCACGAGTGGACAAATTTCTGAAGGAAAAACCAAAACGCAGCGGCTCGAACACAAACAGACCCTAAATCTACACCGCGGATTTATGAGGTCAATCCCTCTCCTGACTCATGGGCGGACATATCATCCTACCCAGCGCCTTTAGCGGCGCCCTGGGGAACTCTCCCCTTCTCAGGGCCTTGGGACGAGCTCCCGGAGGGACACGCCGAGGCTTTAAGGTGAGGAGAAGCAAAGCTGGATGGAGGGCACCGAGGAAAAGGGGGCTCGGGAATGCGGCGGTCGCAGCCCCGGCGCGGCATCACCGCGGCGCGTCCCGGAGAAGCCGCTTCCTCTCCCCTCCAGCGACCAGCGTTGCCCTGCTTCGCCGAGTTTAAATAACATTAAAAACAGGAGACGGAGCCACGCAGCCCCGGCCGTGCCCCTGCCGGCAGCAGGAATCCCGGGGTCCCTAAGGATGCTCCGCGGCCGCCCCTCCCCGTCCCCTCCCGCCCGACCCCGCCGCCCTCACCGTGCCGCCGCCTCCTCCTCCTCCTCTTCTTCCTTGGCCCTGGATCGCCCCGGTGCTTCCCGGGCTGGCGGCGGCTCCTGCTGCTGCAATTTCCGCTTCTCCCCAGCTCCCACTTCCTCTTCCCGGCTCCAGGTGGGAGCGGGCCGGGCGGCGCTCCGCCCCGGGCGGGGCTGTGGGGAACACCGCCCCCGGGAGCGACACTGGGGACGGGAGGCACTTCCCACAGGATAAATGCGGGCAGTGGAGGCCCGAGGGGAGCTGCTCCTTCCCCTGCTGCTTTAAATCGCTGCGAAGAACCCGCTGCACAAGCGCTATTCCAAAAATGCACCATCAGGAGTTATAAAATGGCCACGGGAGATTTCTCACACCACACCCCCCCGCCGTTTTTTTTCTTTTCCCTTCCTCCTTCCC